TTGTTTTTCTTTTTGTCATAATTTGATATGCATTCGTCCTCAGGGTCGACCGATCTCTCTAGATCAGTGTCTTCAGCATTTCATCTCCTCAGAAACCATCAAAGAAGTGGAATGTGAAAACTGTACCAAGGTACACTCACTGCAGTATCTGTGTCTTGCCAAATTCTGCTAATTTTTGTATTTTTAATATGTAATTCACACAAAAGCATAGACAGGAAGCCTTGTGACAAAACTAGCACCAAGCTACTTCCATTTGCACTCATATGACCGGTGTGCTGTACACCAGAAAGGCCTACATCGGTGATACTCATGGCCCACAAGCCAAATCTGGCCCATGATATAGTGCTGGATGGCCCACTGACCATTCTCTAATTCACAATAAAATATATTGATTCACACTAGGATGTTTTTTGTACTTTGAATGTAAATTCAATGTCAGATTGCATAAAAAAAAAAACATCAAAATAGAGCTTGTTTTGCAAAAAAAGTGACAAGGAATCTCCCCCACACCCCCAGACTGAGGTTTGCTGTAATTATTTATATATTATTTATTAATGTTTGTTTATTAACTGGACCCTGGCTTCCTGTCATTTTGCAAAAGTGGCACCCTGGCAAGGCTAGATTAGTATTCCTGGCTGACATGTTTCTTTATAAAGATGTGTTTTGCTGATTTGTGTCATTTGTGTTTGGGATCATTTCTCCGCAGCTTCAACAAGGGACCACAGTGAACGGGCAAGTTCTGGAAAGCCAGAGGACAACATTTGTTAAACAGTTAAAACTAGGAAAGGTAACTGTTATTTATTTATATTTATCATGTCACTATTAGCTAGTTATTAAGAGCCTAAGATGTTAGATACTAGTTAGATAATATGTACAACACTGAAGCTTGTTTGTGTCCATCTTGGGGAGAGAAATGTAACAGTAAAATGTTATGTTGATCAAAACCTCCCCTCCTTTTTTTATGGCAGAAGTTCTAAAATGTTCTGCCCTGGTTCGTCCTCTCACCGTCTGTTTTCCTCCCTCTGCCAGCTCCCGCAGTGTCTCTGCATCCATTTACAAAGACTGACATGGTCCGGTGAAGGAACCCCCATCAAAAGACAGGAGCATGTGCAGTTCACAGAGTACCTGTCGATGGACCGTTACAAACACATTGCTTCCACACAGAGAAGTCAGCGGATCAAATGTGCTCCGAGCCCCATAAAGACAGAGAGTTTAGATGACTGCATGGAGAAGCCCTCTGCTAATGGCACCGGTGTGTTGGATCTGCTAACCCTGTAATATCATTCTGCTTAACATTCAGTTAGTTTTTTACATCATACATTTGTTGTTTTGTTTTCCAGAAGCAGAGCATCGTAACAACAACAACAAACCTTTTTCCAATGGAACATGTTCATCTGTACTTCTTCAGTCTCCTGGTGTGAACCCACAGCTTGGCCTCACATATGACTACAGGTAATGTTAGACCCTGTTTACACTTCCACAGATTTATTTTTAAATGGATATTTTCTTCTATATTTTGCCCTTTTCTCTAATTGCAAAATGAGTTTTAGGGACACTTTAACAGAGATTATTTTTATTTTTATTATTTCATTGTCTGTGTAGACATGTAAAACGGAGTGTTTGGGAAACAATGACGTAATCTCCTCAATTAGCTTGTGTCCATTGTTGCATGTAGACAGGGCCTTAATGTCAAGGTGCAACTATACTCATGCTTACCAAGTTATTCAGTGTTGTGGTGGTAATCAGAGCCCTCCAGTAGAGTCTTTGTAAGACTACGCCAAGGAGAACCAAGCTTTTCCGCCATCTCATGGTGGCTCAACACCTTACAAGAAACTTTATGTTGACCCCTCCTTTATTTACCACCCATCTGTTTATGTCCTCTGATCACAGCGTCTTTCCCTCCAGCTCTACAGAGTACCTTTTCCAGCTCACGGCCGTGCTGGTTCACCACGGCGACATGCACTCAGGACATTTCGTCACGTACCGCCGCAGCCCTTCCTCACCCCGCACCACTTCACCCCTCAGCTCCCAGTGGCTTTGGGTGTCAGATGACTCGGTACGAAAAGCCAGCCTGCACGAGGTGCTGTCTTCCAACGCTTACATGCTCTTCTACGAGAGAGTCCGAAGAATGAACCTGGCTCTGTGCTCGGAGGAGTAACCGGAAGCTTACCGCCTCACGGCCTGACTGACTTCTGCCTTTCCAGTCCAACTGTCACAGCTGTATGTGGCAGTTACAGCGCGGTTACCAACGGGTGGATTATGACTTTGTGACAATGAGACCAGAGAAAGCCATCCCAGAGTTACTGTAAAGATAAATCTGCCTCACGGATCACCGCAACATGCTGAAGGTTGTTGAATGATGAGATCTGATAAGAAATCCGTGAGTGAACACTTTGCCTGCTGCTCTGGGCTTTCAATCCCAAAGATTACGGACCTGCAGGATTTTTAGTCCAATACTTTCATGTTAACTACTTTTCTTCGACACGTGTAACAATTTCTGTCATGCAACATCCCGGCTTCTATCGGACAAAAGAACAGAAACACCAGAATATAGTGCACTCTAAAGTTATAGCCCTGCAATACTTTGTTCATGTGTGAAGCTTATGATGTCGATTTAACTCTGTGGCATTGTTACAATGCTGTAGTTTTTGGTGTTAAATTGGAACACAGTATACTTTAAGGTGTTGCTGTTATTTTGTCCACTGCCTGTACATTACAGACACAGAAGTAGCTGATTAGGAATTCTTGCTGTTGTTACTTAGAAGTTGTTACATACTATGAAGTCAGATAGATAGAATTTTCTCTAACTCTGGTTCTCTATCGTCTAATTTGCCTAATCATTCCCAGCAGTGTACGTAAAACTGTTTTGGAATCAATGTTTCAATTGAAATTGTTCATAAGCAGTTGAATTTGATATTTTTCTATGTTTCCAATAATCCTTACACTGTCATGATTTGCAGAGTTAAGGTCAAAGTGCCATGTTGTCTTTAACACTCGAGATTTTTAACACATGAAGCCATGTGTGCTACGACTATTGTGAACACACGATATGATGCATCAGAGCCGTTCGGTCTGGTGTTGATGTTCAACGGTTCAACAGATTAATAATGATCTGCTCTCAGTTAATAAAGCCACAGTATGACTGCAGTTTTTTTGGGCAAGTTATCCTGAATATTTTTAATTCTGTATAGCTGCCGTTTTGCTCCTACCAAACCGACTGAGTCAAAGTGAGAAATGGCCTGGTGCAAAACTCCTCATCAATGTTTGCGATTTGCACTAATGTATATTCACGTGAGATTGTTTGTATTTGTGTGAAATCTGTAAAGGTGATTGTTTTAAGGCATTAAAAAAAAAGATCAAGAACAAACGTGCACATTAGAGTTTCATGTTTTTACAGCAAGATAATTATTTGTTACTTTCGAGACAATAGAGATTGTGTGCCAGCAGATATCCCTAAAATCAACCAACCACTGTCTGAAGTGTCTTTGACCAAAACAATGAATCTCCACCATATTTGAGAACAGTCAGAGAGGCATGTGGTCCTAACTGACGGGTTCAAACAAAATATTTTCTATACAGATGAGGTCATTTTTCATAATAAATACAACACATAATCTAAGGGGATAAACGCTCCTTAGTGCCAAAGACAGAGAGTGACAAAATAATCTTAAGGCATGCAAACTTGTAAAATACTACAGTATAACTACTCATTATGCAGAAGGTCCACTTTGGATTAATATATATTATTATAATTACTGATGCATAATGTATTCATAACTTTAATGTTGTAGCTGGTAAATTTGGGGCTTATTTGTTACTATATACACTGTTGGGTAGCAGTGACCTTTATTTACCTTATCCATAATGATACATCATAATTTATTTTTCATTATATTTTGTGATAGTCTGACTCTGCAGTGCAACTTGTAAAAGTACAATGTTTCCCCTCGAAATTGAGGTGAAGTAGAAGTAGGTTATAAAGTGGTACACAATGTAAATACTCCAGTAAGGTACAAGTACCTCAAAATTCTACTTAAGCACAGTACTTTGAAGTAAATGTACTTTATTACTTCCCACCACTGCGTGGTTGTAGCTATAATGCTAGCTATGTGAGGAGTTACTTCAGCATTATGCTACACTGTATACTGTAAAACTTCAATTAGCAGGCCAGGCTATTATTTGCTTAAATCACTGAACTCAACAGGCCTATTTTTTGGAACAGGCGTCTATATGGGACAGGCCTTTAATTCCCTTCACACAAAACTGTTGCTCAGCAAAGATCAGGAAATACAATCAACTTGTTTATTTGAAACAGTATGAATATTACTTGTGAAAAATTAGGCTTTGAATAACATGTCAATTATGTGTCATTCATTTGATCTAGCTCCGACAGACGGGGTATCAGGAGTTAATATTCATTTTACAGCACTCGAGAGTTACGGCACCCAGCATACTGACACAACACCACTTAATCCTATTAAAACAATACTCACATCATGGATTATTTTTTATGAAAACCCCTTCTGATTTTTTTGATCTGAGGACCCTTACAGACTAAAGGAATATAAATAACATACCCGGTAATTGAGGAAGCGAAACATACTCTGACTTTATGACTGCTTCGAAGGAAGGGAATCACCACTTTTTTTTCGTTACTCTTTTTTACCGTGCCAGTAAATCTCAGTGAATTATTCTTTGGTGCTCTTGGTTACAGTAAAGTGAAATGAGGAACATTTATATTTGTATGTGTGATCTAAACAGCTATCTAACATTAGCTCAAGTGTATAGCCGACAGTTGGTTTTACCCATCCAAAGAAGTTCTATAAAAATCAACTGCTTGGCAACCAGATCAGACCTCTAACTGAGACAGCCCTTGTTTGTCTAAATATGAAGCCACACCAGGCTAGTAAAAGGGGCTGGGAGTTTAACTGGGACTAGGCTTGTTTTTAGGCTTCATGGTCTGCTCTTGGTGAGAATCTGTAATTTTTAAGGAGATTGAATTGTTTATAGTTGTTGATTTTATTGCTCATTTCTTCAGGAACATTGCCAGCTGCTTTACAAGACTTAATTTCATGAAAGTAGCTGAAGTGGTAGTTTGAACTTGAGTCAGTCAGAGGTTTGGGCCTCTGTCATTTCTAACCACTGGTTCACACTGTAAAATGTGTTCACTCTCCACCTTGTTCTGTCGTATAGTCACGTAGATTCAGGTGCTACATAAACACATTTTAGATTTCTGATACTTGTCCATGATACCAATGACAGCAAGAGTCTTGTACTCCATTCAGCCTAAACTGGGGTCCTTTCCTCAGAGACTTAATGGGAACTGGCCCCATCGGCCTGGGTGATAATCCATGACTGGTCATTTCTTTCTGTCCTGCAGGATGCGTCTGAAGGTGAGGTTGATTCGAGGACAGGAAATCTTCTTGCGAACAGGGAGGCTGTGGTACCAGAAAGTGTTGGTCGGTGAGTTCATGAGGAGCAGACTTCCATGAGCAAGCTCAAGCTTCACAGGCTCGATCTGTCTGTGGCCCTGTTTTCCCCGAGCATCTCTGTGCCGGAAGATAAAGTCTCGTGGAGCTCCCAGGGAGACGGAGGCGATGGGACAGAGGGGGTCCAGCTCCTTTTCATCATCACGATGCTCACCCATGTGATCGTGACCATCTTTGTACCTGCAGGAGAGCAGAGCACTTTCAGCAGGGACACAAATATCAAACTGTGACCTTTAAAACTTGTATTCAGTAATTTCTCACCTGTTGATCAGAACAAAGTTAAATGTTTGTCCAGTTGTTTTCGTGACAGCATCCCGAATATATTCCAAGGTTGGAGTCCACGGGCAGGCTAAACGTGTCACTCCAGAGTAGGTGTAGGCAAGGCCTGCATTTCCATATGTGGCCTGCTTTCTCGGTATATTGTATACCTTCCCGAACACCTGCACCTTTGCTTCTTCTCCTGGAACAAAAACAGCCATGATTGTTCACCAACACTCCAACACCAGGTCATAGCTTTACAGAAAAAGGTCGGATGTTGTACCTGTTGCGTAGACCACCTCCTTCTCCAGCTGTTTAAAAAGGTGGTCTGCTTCCTCTTTGGAGAACAGCAAAGCATAATCACAGTCTAATCCCTCTGCCTCTATTTTCTGCCAAGGAACAGGATCAGAGAACTCTTCTTCATCATCATCCTCCTCCTGCTTCACAGTGTCATCACTCTCCAGTTTGATCTTCTTCTGGGGACTTTCGGCATCATTGGAGCAGGAGTGTTTCATCACACACTTTTCCATGGTAGTAACCTGTTGTCTGTGGCACTCCGTGGAGCTGCAAGGAAGAAGGAAATAATAAATATCTTGTGTGTAAGATGTATCGGCATTCAGTGGTGTAGTGGCAGTTGATGAGGTGGGTGTACTACTAGGTAGACGGGTGGGTTACCGAGGAGGAGGTGGGTATACTCTCCTGTATATTCCAATGGCTTTCTGGCTGTTAGGTAGGTATACTGTAAACGACCAGAAAAAGAGGCAGGTATACCCTGTATACCTGCGTATACCCCCCACTACATCACTGGTGGCGTCAAGTGGTGAGGTTGCAGAACTGAAAACTCTCCTGTGTGCCAAGTGTGTAGGAGAACTATGCAAAAATAAAAAACGCAATCCTTCTGGTATACTGTAGAACAACATGGTGGACTCTGTGGAAGAGGACCCACTCCATATGCACATATAAACAGCTCATTCATGCATTTTCCTAAACCTCTTATCCTGTTGGGGGTCGTAGGGGGGCTGGAGCCTATCCCAGCTGACACTTGGCGAGAGGCGGGGTGCACCCTGAACAGGTCACCAGACTATCACAGGGCTGACACATAGGGACAAACAACCATTCACGCTCACATTCACATCTAAGGGCAATTTAGAGTCAACAATTAACCCGCATGTCTTTGGACTGTGGGAGGAAGCTGGAGTACCCAGAGAAAACCCACGCTGACATGCTAAGACCATGCAAACTCCACAAGGAAAGGCTCCCCCTCCCTGGGTTCAAACCTGCAGTGGGGGGTTTGGACCCAATGCTAACCACTGCACCACCATGCTGCCCAACAAATACACAGTGAGACTTATTTTCAAATTATAAACTAATGAACAAAGTTATAGGCCTACTATTTCTGCCAATAAATGCACCTAAACCATGCACACTTGACCTTTAATACTGATTTTGAGATGTAAATTAATATGGGAAAAACATTGGTAATGTACCTGTAGTTTAATATATTTACATCTGATGAATTCTGGACCTTTTGGAAATGGCAGGGCTGCAACTTACAATTATTTGCATCATTAATTAATCTTTTAACAAGTGTCCAGATTAATCATTGAACTGCTGTGTTCTTTAACTGTCCATCACAATTTTCCCTGAGCCCCAGGTGACATTACTACACTTCAAAGGGGAAAATACTCAATATACTATGATATACTACGAAGAAGAGCTGCAAATCCACATTTAGAGTATGAACTAAAAATGACACAAATGATTTATCACTTATTAAAACAATTAACTAAATTTCGTCAATTGACGAACTACAAAAGGCTACTAACCTAATAGACCAATTTGTCACTTTGTAACAGCAGCAAAGATATGACATTAAGCTTTTATAGAATAAAATACTACGTAATAACGGCTATGAAATAATGTATGTACAAAATAACATCACGAAAATAGCTGAGAAAACGTATATTCCACAAAGATGAATGCTAGGTGCTTCACCCTCCACAGACAGTACAAACACACAGCAACAGATGGTCTTGAACAGCCCTCAGCTCATTATCATAAATCTGTGTCGTCACTTAGGCGCGAATACTGTCAGAAACTGCAGGTTTTTCCAGAGGAGCCCACTGCCGCTTTGCTCTTATTTTAGCTAATACGTGTACTTTTATAGTTTACGGCAGCTTACCGTCACGGTGTTCATCAAGAAAATGATCGGACAGAAAACTATTCATTCATTTTTTTCACCTGTCTCGAAGAAGAGATTTTCCGAGGACGTAAATGAGACCAAGGAGGATGCCAAAGACCCGGTGAGCGTTATTAATAAGTGCAGTCTGTCAGCTAACATTAGCCACGTGTCTAGCTTGTTAAAACATAGCGTTATTAATAATTAAACACAACTTACATGGTACTTGTAAAACCATTTCAAACATAGCGGGATTTGTCGTTTCCCGCGATAGTTCAGTATACGAAAGCTGCGTTCACAGGCGCCGCTGTGTTCCTGTTTGTTGTTAAAACTTGTGCTCAAAACACGAGAATGTTTTTGCTGCGATGTGGACGGTTTCTGAAGCCAGTCTCAACTCCATCTGTACGCTGCTCACCTGCTCTATGTTTTGCCCACTACACTAAAATTGTGCAGAAGAAGCAGAAGTCCTCAGCGGTGAATCCGGAGCCGTCCAGACCGTCTCCTGCTCCTCTGTCCCCGGAGCAACTGGACAGGATCGCCCGCAACAAGCAAGCAGCGATACAGAAACTCGCTTCCGCTCAGACCCCTCCAGGGTTTGGGGAAGGCTGGAGAAAGGAACTGTCGGCTGAGTTTGGAAAGCCCTACTTTAAAAGGGTGAGATGACAAGTCAACATCACACTGCGCTGCTGTCTCTGTTGTTTTAAACGGTTCAAATAACTTAATGTTGTCCGCCACAGCTGATGAACTTTGTCTCTGAAGAGAGAAAACGCCACACTGTGTACCCTCCTGCTGAACAGGTCTTCAGCTGGACTCAGATGTGTAACATCCGAGATGTAAGTTTGACTGCACTGGCACCTTCCCACTCATCCTGACCTGTGACACTGTGTCTGACACTTACACACCCTAGGGGGCGCTGAGGACAAAATATGGAACACTAAAGTGCAATTGAAAATGGAAAATCAGAGTTAACATACAATATTAGCGTATATATGTAAATGATGGGTTAGTGGGACAGAATGGTCTGTGCTGTGTGGATAAAATGGAAGTTAAGTGTCCCTTAGTTTGGCATTAACTGTCACAGTCACATCTTTTTAAGATGTGTCTCTAATTCCAGGTCAAGGTGGTGATTCTTGGCCAGGATCCATATCATGGTCCTAACCAAGCACATGGATTGTGCTTTAGTGTCAAAAGACCAGTGCATCCTCCACCCAGGTTAAAACTTTTTCAGTATCTCTGCATGTAAACTAGTCAGTTTTCTAACTTCAAATCAGTCCAGTGCTGCGCAGTCCTTTGACATACTTGTTACACCTGTGATCCTTTTCATCTCCAGCCTGGAGAACATGTACAAAGAGCTGGTGTCAGACATTGAAGGCTTTGAGCACCCTGGACATGGAGATCTGACTGGATGGTCCCAACAAGGTATTTTTGTTGAATGTTTACGCATAGTTGCACAGCAAGAAAGCTGTTGATCATTAACCCACCTGCTGTCTTCTACATCTGTGACCTCACTCTCCAGGTGTGCTGTTGCTCAATGCTGTGTTGACCGTCCGAGCGCACCAGGCCAACTCCCACAAAGACCAAGGCTGGGAGACCTTCACTGACGCTGTGGTGCATTGGCTCAGCAACAACCTGGAAGGCCTTGTCTTCATGCTGTGGGGATCATATGCTCAGAAGAAAGGAGCTGCTATTAACAGGGTGGGTCCACACTGTTGTTTTAAACCAAAGCTTTTTATTTTGTTCATGTATCTCAGTTGATATGTGTGTAATATGTGTTAATATATCTCTCTGTAGAAACGTCACCATGTCCTGCAGACTGTGCATCCCTCTCCCTTGTCTGCTCACAGAGGATATTTTGGGTGCAGGCATTTCTCAAAGGCCAACGAGCTGCTAAAGAAGTCTGGAAAGGCTCCAATAAACTGGAAGGCACTTTAAGTTCATGTTTTCCAACAAACTACAGACCAAAATCTGCCCATAAGTTTTCACTGTTTTCCTGTTCCAGCAGTAGTGTGAGCAAAGATTTCTTTACAAAAGAGTTCATGTTGGTAGTTTAAACTTTTGTTTTGTGCCATACACTGAATTTCCTCAAACTTTTGTTTCAACATTGTAAATATGTTTGTATCTTTTTTTACTTTTTTATAGACAAGTTGATACTATTAAAGTGGTTCCAGAAAGTGGATGTTGTATGTTTCTAAATATGCTCACTTCCTCTGATGCACAGAGTGTTGTCCATGCTTCACTGCAGAGTTTAAGGCGCACTTTTTCATCAGGTTTGGTCAGTTTGAGTGCACAAAATGGCTCTGGCAAAACATATATATTAAAAAACTGATAACTGCACAGGGCTAANTAATGGGTGTTGTCCATGCTTCACTGCAGAGTTTAAGGCGCACTTTTTCATCAGGTTTGGTCAGTTTGAGTGCACAAAATGGCTCTGGCAAAACATATATATTAAAAAACTGATAACTGCACAGGGCTAAAGATAAAAAATAATGTAAGATTTGGCAGAACTAGATTTGCTGGAGAGATAAAAAGTTACTTAAAGACACAATTGTTGATTTGTGTGATGACCACTTTGTATTTACATGGCTTACTCAGGGTGTCTGCAGGTCCTTAAAAAGTCTTAAAATGTCTTGAATTCAATTTTATAACAATAAGGCCTTAAAAGTCATTAAATAATCCTTAACTAGAATTTATAAGGTCTTAATTACTGAATAACATTTTATCAAATTTCATTTATCCATTTTGCAAAAAAAAGAGTGAAGCCTGTCTATGTAAACGTCCACATTTCTTATGTTACAAATCTTTAAAAAAAAAAACAATAATACAGTCATTTTACTTCATACCTGCACTTACCTGTTGGCAAAATGTAGATTGACTTATCTCACTCTCATCACCATTTAATTTCGCACAACACAACGATATTCTTTACAGTTCATTTAAACTCATTCATAAACATTTGACATGACTGTGAACTCTAATTTTAAAGCGATTTGGATGCACAGGCGAATCATCAGAGGCACGGACTAACGTCAGTATTGAATAGACTTATATAGTGTGACTATAACATAACCCGCTCACATTTTGGATGCATTCAGGTTTCATTGTTGTGAAGCGTTTACTGAATGTCACAGGGAATCGTGCTCTCCTGGCTCTCACTTGGTATCTCCATGGCTCAACGTGTCTTTGGAGGATATCAGTGGAAACGGCGATTCATTAATGTGAGTGACGTCCAGACTAGTATACTGTTTCTATTATTATATTGCAAACGACAGCTTTAGATGAATGAAATAAAAGACGCGAAGCAATCGCAATGTTTATTTCCTAGTTAGCTGAGAAACGGGTTCTCAAAGGCCACGCCCACACCACATCTGTCTCTATCACCAGTTAATTCACACACAGCTCAGTTAATCTTGCACACCCGCAACAAGCAGGCAGCGATGGGGACTCCTCCAGGGTTTGGGAAAAGCTGGAGAAAGGAACTGTCGGCTGAGTTTGGAAAGCCCTACTTTAAAAGGGTGAGATGACAAGTCAACATCACACTGCGCTGCTGTCTCTGTTGTTTTAAACGGTTCAAATAACTTAATGTTGTCCGCCACAGCTGATGAACTTTGTCTCTGAAGAGAGAAAACGCCACACTGTGTACCCTCCTGCTGAACAGGTCTTCAGCTGGACTCAGATGTGTGACATCCGAGATGTAAGTTTGACTGCACTGGCACCTTCCCACTCATCCTGACCTGTGACACTGTGTCTGACACTTAAGTATAAAGCATTTGATATTGATATAAACAAGCAAACAGTTTTTATTGTAGGTTGCAAAGTAAAAAATAAATAGTAAACTGTACAAAAACAAAGAGCAGTATAATAAGCAAACAGTATAAAACCCAAAACAATATAATAAGGACGCATCAAAAAGAAGCAGAATATAATAAAGTTATTTTTGTTTTCACATTGTCAGTTCAAATAAAAGAGGATTCAGTTCTGTTTCTGGTCAACTTCAGCTCTGATGGAGCCTCAGTCCTCTTTTTGTTCACACTATAGCCTATAATATATAATATAACGTATATATATTGACCTAGTTTTGTTTTACTTTTACGTGGCACTGCAGTGCGGTTATGAAGCCCCTCACTTTCAGATGAACTTAAAACTAGAGGAAAACCTTTGCGTTTCTGTGTGCTGTGCTGTAGACTGTTGATGTATTTTACATTCCACATTTGGAGACGTGCAGTATCTTCTGTGGACCAAACTACTCCTCGTCCTGCGTTCTTGCAAGCGTTAGGCCAAGGTGGTTTCGTCTGTTTTTTCAAGCGTCCCAGTGCAACAGCATGTGATCTAGAGGGCTGAATACAATGGCAAAGAGCAGAGCGAGCTGACTGGTTTCACCAGTCTAGGTGGGTTTTTTTTTAGCCTCTTAAACAATAAGAGAAACAGTATGGCGCCTGCTTCCTGTTCACAAATTCTCATACTACAGCCAAACAGTGTACAAAAATGTGTTTCTGAAGACATTTTAGGTGAGAAAAAGGCAATAAAGACACAGAATCTTGGTTTATATTTGATCAGCACTGCCTAGTTTTACAGTTTGATGGGAGTTTGGTCTGAGTTTGAGAAAGCACAAGACAGAGTGACGTCTTTCTCTGGCACACAAAATGCGGATGTACAATCTGGGCTAGAGCCGGTGAAAATCCACTGGATGACACATGTTTAGCTGAGAGATGAGGGAGGGAAGTTTTACCATAGTTTATTTACACACACTACCCACATTGTTATGATACTAAGCCGATTTTAAAATCGGCGAAGTATTCCCTTCAGCTGTAGAAAATTGTGAGACAGCCTGTCTTTTATAACACTAAGGCAGTATTAAATTGTTTCTTGCTTCACAGTTATTGTGACATACGTTGATAAACTTATTTGAGCGCCTCCCATATGCTAGACTGTCTACATGCTGCATACACACCCCAGCAGGCACTGAAGACAACACATGGAACATTAAAGTGCAATTGAAAATGGAAAATCAGAGTTAACACACAATATTAGCATATGTTAAGGAAAGCCCTGTGCACTTTAGGGTTAGTGGCACAGAAGAGTCTGTGCTGTGTGGATAAAATGGAAGTTAAGTGTATGATGTTAAGTGTCCCTTAGTTTGGCATTAACCATCACCGTTGCATTTCTTTAAGATGTGTCTCTAATTCCAGGTCAAAGTGGTGATTCTTGGCCAGGATCCATATCATGGTCCTAACCAAGCACATGGATTGTGCTTTAGTGTCAAAAGACCAGTGAGTCCTCCACCCAGGTTAAAACTTTTTCAGTATCTCTGCATGTAAACTAGTCAGTTTTCTAACTTCAAATCAGTCCAGTGCTGAGCAGTCCTTTGACATACTTGTTACACCTGTGATCCTTTTCATCTCAAGTCTGAAGAACATATACAAAGAGCTGGTGTCGGACATTAAAGGCTTTGAGCATCCTGGACATGGAGATCTGACTGGCTGGTCCCAACAAGGTATTTTTCAAAAAGCAGTTTGTTGAAGCATAGTTGCACAGCAAGAAAGCTGTTGATCATTAACCAACCTGCTGTCTTCTACATCTGTGACCTCACTCTCCAGGTGTGCTGTTGCTCAACACTGTGTTGACCGTCCAAGCGCACCAGGCCAACTCCCACAAAGACCAAGGCTGGGAGACCTTCACTGACGCTGTGGTGCAATGGCTCAGCAACAACCTGGAAGGCCTTGTCTTCATGCTGTGGGGATCATATGCTCAGAAGAAAGGAGCTGCTATTAACAGGGTGGGTCCGCACTGTTGTTTTAAACCAAAGCTTCTCATCATGTTCATGTGTCTAAGTTGGTATGTGTTAATATATATCTCTATTTGTAGAAACGCCACCACGTCCTGAAGACTGTGCATCCCTCTCCCTCGTCTGCTCACAAAGGATTTTTTGGGTGCAGGCATTTCTCAAAGGCTAACAAGCTGCTAAAGAAGTCTGGAAAGGCTCCAATAAACTGGAGGGCACTTTAAGTTCATGTTTTCCAACAAACTACAGACCAAAACATGCCCATAAGCTTTCACTGTTTTCCTGTTCCAGCAGTAGTGTGAGCAAAGATTTCTCTACGAAAGAGTTTCATGTTGGTAGTTTAAAGTTTGAACAACTTCAGCGTGAACACTTTCAACCTCCGCTCAATCCCTACTTCCGCCGCATCAATTTCAAAACAAAAGTACCTTACACTCACCCTCTTCAACACAAGATCTCTCAACAATAAAAGTCTTATTCTCAACGAATTTATCACTGACAAGCAACTTGACCTTCTCTGCCTTAATGAAACTTGGCAAAAACCCCTGGACTACCTTTCACTTAACCAAACTACCCCTGTTGGATACTCTTACATAGACAACCCACGATCTGAGGGCAGAGGAGGGGGCATTGCTGCTATTTACAGTACCATCAAGACCTCCAACCCCACCCACTCTCCATCCCTGCTGCTCCATCCTTTGAACACCTGGCTTTTAAACTACCTGGCCCTAAACCTGTCATCATTTCAATCATCTACCGCATCCCCAAACCCAACCCATCATTCCTATCAGATCTCTCAGAACTCATCACTGCACTGTCTTCAATCTCACCATCTGTTTTACTCCTCGGCGACTTCAACCTCCACATTGACTCCCCAGACTGTAAAAATGCTATGGACTTTCTGGACCTACTCAACTGCTTTAGCTTCACCCAACACATCAACTTTCCCACCCACAACCGTGGACACATCTTAGACCTGGTTTGCTCCACTGGCCTCCACATCCATAACATCTCCAGCACCGACCTCTCCATCTCCGACCACCTGGCCATCACACTTGTCATTGACATTCCCGCCCCCAACCCAAACAGGATCGCACAATGACTTTCCGCAACCTAAAGTCCATCTGCCCAGTCTCTTTCTCCACCTGCATATCGAACACTCTCTCCGCCCTCACGCTCCCTGCAAATCCAGCCCCCATGGACCTTGTCAACATCTACAACAACAAGCTGTCTACCTCCCTTAACGAACTGGCCCCCCTAAAAACCAAAACTGTCAATTTAACTCACTTGGCCCCCGGTTCACCCCGGAACTCCACAAGCTCAAAAAACAACTAAGACAACTAGAACGACTACGCAAGAAAACCGGTCTCACAGTACATGCCCTAGCGTACAAAGATCACATGCACCTCTACAAATCATCACTCAAAGAAGCCAGCTCTGTCTACTACTCTGCCATCATTCATTCTGGATCCTCCAACCCACGCACTCTGTTTTCCACCATAAATAAACTCCTCAAACCCCAGGACAACATATCATCCTCATTCACCCTGGAGAAATGCAACAACTTCTTATCTTTTTTCCACTCCAAGATAGAAAGCATCCACAACCAGCTTGCCACCTCCTCTGCCACCACCCTCGACCAGGAACCTCCACTTCCTTCATCCCCTAACCACCGGCTTTCCCTCTTCTCGCCCATAGCCACAGTGGACATCTCCAAAATACTCTCCACCATGAAATCATCCACCTCCCCCCTGGAACCCATACCCTCTGACCTCATCAAAGCCTGTTTTACCTCTCTCGCCCCACTTATCACGGACACCATCAACTCCTCCATTACCTCTGGCATCGTTCCCCCACCTCTTAAGCTCGCTGCCATCACCCCCCTCCTTAAAAAACCTGGCCTTGACCCCGACAACCCCAACAACTTCAGACCCATTTCCAACCTCCCATTCCTCTCAAAACTACTGGAAAGAGCCGTCGCGACACAACTCAAGCAATACCTCCTCTCCAATAACCTGTATGAAGCATTCCAATCCGGCTTCCGAACTCACCACTACACTGAAACAGCACTAGTCAAAGTAACAAACGACATTTTACTCTCTTCTGACTCTGGATCCCTCACCATTCTCCTCCTCCTCGATCTCAGCGCTGCCTTCGACACCGTCAGTCACTCCATCCTCCTCAGCCGTCTGAAATCCATTGGCATCACAGACTCCGCCCTCTCCTGGTTCACCTCCTACCTGTCTGAAAGATTCCACTATATCTCCATCAACAACCACAAATCCCACACCACCCCTGTCTCACACGGAGTCCCTCAAGGCTCAGTGCTTGGCTGGATCCTCTTCATTCTCTACATGCTCCCACTAGGTCACATCATCCGCCGCCATGGTCTTCACTTTCACTGTTATGCCGATGATACCCAGCTTTACATCACCACCACAGCCATTACTCCTGCCATTCTCTCTACCCTCACCGACTGTCTCACCGACATCAAAACCTGGATGAATCACAACTTCCTAAAACTCAACAGCAATAAAACGGAAATTATCATCTTTGGCCCAAAACCCATCCTCCCCACCTCCCAGGACTTCTCACTCTGCATCGATGGTCACTCTGTCACTCCCTCCCCCGTGGTCAGAAACCTCGGCATCATCATGGACCCCAAACTCTCCTTCAAATCACACATCAACCACGTCACCAAAACATCCTTCTTCTACCTTCGCAACATTGCAAGCCTTCGCCCCACTATCTCCTCCTCAGCCGCCGAAACACTCAACCACACCTTCATCACCGCCAGACTCGACTATTGTAATAGCATCATGTATGGCCTCCCCACCACTGTTCTTCAAAAACTGCAATATGTTCAAAACTCGGCTGCCCGACTGCTCACTCACTCCCCCTCCAGAGAACACATCACTCCCATCCTCTGTCAACTTCACTGGCTTCCCATAAAACAACGCATCAACTTCAAGATCCTCCTCACCACCTACAAAGCCCTAAATAACCTTGCACCCTCTTACCTGACTGATCTCCTCCATCGCCATTCCCCACTCGCCGCCTCCGCACCACCGATGCCAACCTTCTCACCCCCATCACCAAGACCAAGTACCGCACCCTGGGGGACAGAGCATTTGCCATCGCCACCCCTACCCTCTGGAACTCCCTGCCCCTGGCCATCCGGAACTCTGACACACTCCCCTCATTCAAGAGTCAGCTTAAATCCCATCTCTTCAGGATCACCTACTGCACCTAAAAATCCTCCCCCGTCATCCTCTACCTGCTCTTTCTCTTATTAAGTGTTTTGTTTGAGTGTCCTTTGTTTGAGTGTTTTGTTTTGAGTGCCTGTTTCTGTGCTTATTCTCTTGTAAAGTGTCTTTGAGTATTTAGAAAAGCGCTATATAAAACCGATTTTTTATTACTATTATTATTATTAAACTTTTGTTTTGTGCCATACACTGAATTTCCTCAAACTGTTGTTTCAACATTGTAAATATGTTTGTATCTTTTTTTACTTTTTTATAGACAAGTTGATACTATTAAAGCGGTTCCAGAAAGTGGATGTTGTATGTTTCTAAATGTGTCCACTTCCTCTGATACACAGAGCAGGTATAATGGGTGTTGTCCATGCTTCACTGCAGAGTTTCAGGCTCATTTTGGCTAATACAAACATTTTATCTAATTTAAGATATCCATTTTGTGAAAATGAGTGAAGCCTTTCTATGTAAACAGTGCTACAAATCTTTAAAAAAAACTGTAATACTGTCATTTCATATTTTCACTGAGCTGTTGGAAAAATGTAGATTGACTTAACTCCCTCTCATCACCATATTCTTACATAACGCTTACTTCTGCACAAGACATTATTTATACTACTGACCTGCAATGCTTTCCTGTGATGCTTAAACGAGTATTTGTTAAAAAAAAAAAAAAAAAACTATCCTAAATATTGTTAAAAAATGTCAGTGCCTCAACATTGGCTGCATTTTATTGGATGGCAGGGCCCTGGTAGTGAAGATGCTGGATCAGTCACCTAAATGAAGTGATGTGATTATTAATGTTACCAGTTTCTCTTGTGTTTTTCTTGCTATAAAAGTCAAAATGCCTGCCGTGAGGAGAGTCTGTAATATTGTCAGTAGTCACTGTGTTGTGCCACCAGGAGGGGCCAGAATAACAGAAATGGTAAGTCAAAAACAGACAAAAAAAATTGATGTGTATATACACTTTCAGGTCTGCATCTTAAAAGTAGCATTAAATGTTGAATTTGCTGTAAAATAAAAGTCACATTCATTCAAATCTAACTCTTATTACATAAAATATTCATGTTGCTGTGAAAGTTGGTGCCTTATATAAAACTAGAAAATATGCTAATTTGGAAAGTCACTGCAGCGTGTTGCAAGGACAGTGTTGGGAAGGTTACTTTTAAAATGTGGTAGGCTACAGATTACTGGTTACTCTGTTAAAAATGTAATAAATAGACCTAACATATATTTTTAATTACTTCATCAAAGTAATGTAACTAATTACATTTGATTACTTTTCTAACAAATGTTTTAAACTGGGCAATACAGCTGAAAATGTCCTAAAAATAGTCTATGCCAAAGAATACATTCCTGCACCACAAATAAAATAAAATAGAATAGAATAAAATAAACTTAACTGATTATAATATATTTGGATGTAAACCCTTTGTGATCCTCGACATTTTGATAGGGTAACTGTAATTTATTTAATTACCCTACTTATTTTTACTCAATAACTGATTGCAATTATATCTATTTTGTAATTTAATTACATGTAACTAATTACTCCCCAACATTGTATAAGGAACAGTATGTAATACAGTATTTTTAACATATGTGTGTGTTAAACTTCAACTCAAGATGATAACCTCTAATGTTCTTGCACACTGAGTAAATGCATTTTGACAAGAAATTCAAATAAAAATGAAAAAGGGACATTTCTCTATTTTGTTCCCATAAAAATTAACGTTGTCTTTAATGTGTATCTTCCTTTCTCGCCCGCTTTGCAAATACATTTCTTCTAGGGGTAATTATATTTTTAAACCATTAAACAGTCTGCATACTGTATTAATGTATTATTTTATTTTGTAAAACTTTTGCTCGCTGTACACAGTGAGCTGTTTGACGTCCACGTGAAGGCGTGGCTCCGCTAGTGACCTCATGACGTAAGCCGGAAGATTCGGGCGCAGTTCCTTTTCAACTTCGCCCTGTCAGTTATGTT